GTGGAGAGCCCATACGTGCACTGACCCCCCCCAAAAAGCTGACAGCCCCTTCCTCAAAGAGCTGACAAGCCCATCGCACCAGGACACGTGAGCTAATCCAGACAAGGCGGGTGTTGACTCCCAGAGCGCACGTCTCATCCAAAACCTTCCCCGCACGGTGATCTCCACCTGCCAAGAATCCAGAACCATGAAACAGGCTCCCCTGAAGTCACCAGTTTGGTTTAAACATATTGAAAGAATGGCCATTTCTTTAGACATTATTACACATTTTTGCACAGCAACAAAACCAGCAGTCAGCATGCGCTTGGCACGTCAAAGCAGCCAGCAAGCACTGCTAGTTTGGTGAGAAAACTGGGGAAAAAGGCAACAGCTGGTTCATGCAGCTTTCTCTAATTCACCTTCCCATATCCTGCTGCTTCTGGCATGCCAACACCCGCGCTGTTACATCTTCTGTGGCATTTTACTCATGCCGCCCAGATTCAGATAGCAGCCACTTGCAGGCTTCATGCTTCCTAGATGCATCCAGGGAAGGAGAACAGTTTAGCTATTACCTTGCTAGCTCCCAGAATATGCTGTCAGTGTTTTGTTGCTATATTTATGCTGACTCCACCTGCGCGGACCAGTGGCCGGCAAGAGAAGGGAAAGGCACCGACAGGAGAGGGTGCTAACGATTTAGGGAACGGGAGCGAGCCAGGCAGATTATGCAGATAGTGGCCCCCGACCCGCTGCCCCTGCAGCAAACATCAAAGCCAGGGTCAGATCAGTGAGCGGCTCTCACAGAGGATGCTTTTCAGTAGGGAGAATAAGCAGATCGAGGCTGTGACAGCTAATCTGTATCTCTAAATCCATCCCTGTAATTATGACTATAAGCTTTCCAAGAGACCATTAGATTTGAAAAGTAAATTTGAATTTATAAATGGAGTCCTTCTAGATAGGGTCCAGCTCCATCCGAGGCATAATTTAATAGCTTTACCGACTGATAAAGTTTGAAAGATCAGCGGAGGGGTCAAAACTGCATCGAAATGCTTGACGGCCGTCCTCAGCCCTTGCAGCGTGTTTGATTCCGGTGAGATCAGCAGTTTTGAGCTGAGTCACAGTTGTGCAGCCTCAATATCTGCCCTGGAGGCCACACACAAACAGCGGGAAAGGAGCTTTCCAACGCAGACAAATAAGGGCACAGAGTCTCTTTTCGGTTACTCAAGGCCTGTCCCCGTTACGTTTCCCCGTCCCGTTCCACAAAACCCCAGCTCCACGCTTGTGACAGCAGGCTCAGCACTCCAGACCAGCGAGGCATGTATGAAGATTACAGTGAGCGTGTTTGGAATTGAGCTGAGGAGCAACGTTTCGATAAGGGGATGTTCCAGGCAGACATGAAACGTGGGGATTTGAAGATGAGTTTCCTGCTTAATTTTTTAATCCCTTTCCAAATCTTTCAATGCGCTTGCTTATGCTCTGTGTTTTCATTTCCTCCCCTCACTCCCTCCCCGCCCCCTTCCCCTGCTTTGTAGTTTATGCAGACTTTGAGCTTTTTTTTCCATTTCATACAACTTGTAGCTGATGATCGGGAGCTCTGCAGTTCAAGGTATGACCTTAAGAAAGACCCTCAGACTCTCTGGGGCAGATCTTCCTTTGGTGCAAGGTGCCTTACACCCCACCGTGTTTGTGTTCTCATCTGGGAAATAATGATGGTATCACCTTTCCTCCCGCCTTTTGTCAAGGGAGAGAACGACCTGTCTCTTCCCAAAGTGCTTCAGACAACGACTGTGCTCAGACAGCCATAAACACACCTATATAATAACCTCCAGACCCATCTCCCCAGTTCGTTTACATACATGGTGCACACATCGCTTCATTCCCAATTTTTTTTTTATTTATTTAGAAATAATAAAATAAGACATAATATATAAAAATCTGTACAATCCACAATTTGTGCAGTACATTAGGAAGACTTCGATACAAAAAGGCTGCAAACAGGAAAATAGTAATGGACAACTGTCAGATGCCTAGATTGTTCACCTTACAATAGCTGCAGGCCAAAAGTCATTACAAAATCAGTATCTCGTTGGCTGTGGGATGGCAACTATGCAGCACCCTTCTACTTTACAACGGTTGTGAGCAGCCATAATTTAAAGACATTACAGTACTTCTCAGTTTTACCTTGTAATCCATTATGAAAAAGAAGACCTAAGAGAACAAATAAAATATCTGGCCCCTTTGTCTTTTCCGAGAAGAGCGAGTGCTAAGCTAACAACGTAGAAGTTTCTCATGGCTGGGAGAGAGTATCTTTAAACACAGCTAGTAAGTAATGATTTCTGCCCTTGCTACTTAACGAAGGACAGCTCGCACGGAAGAGACAGAGGAAAGAAGCGGTCCATCCCCACCTGCCTCGGAAATGCTTTTTGTCACTGTACGCAGTATTATGTTTTAGACAATGTGTCTCATTCAAGTATTTTCAGGGAAGGGCAGAAATAACATATTCCCCCCCAGACCCTAAGCGAAATACAGTATAAACCTTCTGTGCGAGCCGGTTGAGCCAACTTTATCCTCGATAAAGAGGCCGAACCAACGGCTGTTGGAGTCTGCGGGTAGAGCTCAGTCAGTTTAAAGGGCCCCCAAGTAAGCATCAGCTTGGCATCAGCTTGGCCCAGGATCATCGGGAACTGAAGAAACGCTGTCAGTCACTGTATAGTCCTTAAAAATAACAACATTTTTTAAAATTACTAACCCAATTTGCTGCTGCAGAAGTGTGCTACAATAGTCTGTCCTATGCCGGGCTTACCACGGCGTGATGAGAAATACAGAAATGATGGACAAGGGGGAAGGGTACCATGGAGTGTACATTGCAGGTCTCTTTCTAGCAGCTTCCCGGAGCCAGAGGCTGAGTGCAATTCTGCAATGTAGGATTCAATCGGCAAAGACAAAGGGTTATTAAAAAAAAAAAAAAGAAAAAGAATGCGGCAGAGAGTGTAATGGATTACCTCAATGCACACCCTTGACAAGACTAGCACTCGGAAAGCTGGTAACTTTTAAAAATGCCAGTAACTAGAACATGTTTTCAAATTAAAAGTCCATGCTTAAAAATAAATAAAGAGAAGTTCATAGCATTAGGAATCCTATAAGGCTTGCAAGTATTTGCTAAAAATCATGCTAACCGGTAGCATCTAGGTACTAGCTAGCCGAGACTGCCGAGCAGAATTTATACTTTTTGTGGCCTTTTCTTTTTCTTCTTCTCCTTGTCCTCCTTTACAGACTTCTATTTACATTTGGCTTTAAATATGAAAATACTTGATAAACTTTATAAAATGTACATTTTAAAAATATTTCTGAAAAACTGACTTGAAAAACAAAACAAAACAAAACAAAAACCCCAAAACCTCTGCACCAGAAATGTTAAGGGGGAGGGGATTTTTTTTTTTATTTTTTTTTAACCTCTGAATTTCTTTTGCTTTAAAGAAACAAGCTGAATCCTGCATTTCCCGTCCCCCATCTCTCATCCCTCCCTCAAATATCTCAAGTATCATTTAGCGGGAACACTGTGCACCTGGGGGATGCCGACCTGGAGAACAGGTCCCCTTTCTCCCAGTCAGCCTCCCTTTTCCATCCCTTCCCCGTTGTGTTTTCATGCACCCTCTGTTTCACTGAATACTCTTTGGTTTAGTTATTTTCCTTTTACAAGAATATCACAATAGCAGCACTAGCAGCACTCAGTTGTCTTCACTACTGTTGACCCAGAAACTGCAATCAAGTCACCTTTATATGTTCAGCCTTTCCTCTCTTTTACATCCCCCCACCCCAGTAACAGCCTTAGTACTTGCACTTAATCATCTACCCTCTCTAGTAGCCAAATCGATGTTTACAATGTCAAATTTCCACAGTTTCGAACCCACCCACTGAAGATACCATCTTATCAGAAAACCATTTCATTGCAGGCATTTCTTTCAGGCAGGGCTGGAAGGGGCCAGAGGCCTTCACAGATATCTGTTTGCAGAAGACGTTAGACCTAGAACAAGCTGTTTTTTAATGGCATACAGTGATCCAATACTGCAAGAGTTGACTAGGATTATCGTGTCCGTCCCCCCCCCCCACCCCTCTCCACCTGCCCCTAGGGAGCGGGCGTGAAGCGCCGGTTCGCCGTCTCCTTGATCTTAGAGGCACAGAGAATTTACAGCCTTCTGGGCGAAGGACCCAAAATACCGCTAGAGCCAGAGCTTCCCTGAAGGTCACCAGATCTGCTCCGAGCTCGGCGCCACGTCTCGTCCGCTGACCGCTCGGTTGGTGTTTGCTGGGGAGAGGAGGCAGGAGACGGCCCTCACTTTGCAGCCTCGTCCTCCCTGAATAATCCCTCTCTAAACGAGGTGGAAACCATGCTTTTTCTGACACCTTTGCCCTGCTGAAGAGAAGCTTTTTTTTTTTTTACAAAACGCTCCAATCCCTGTGCCCTTCTTTCTCTTTTCCTCCCCGTGACCCTCTCCCTTCCTCTTCAAAAAACCCTCTTCCTGGGGATTTCTCTATCGCTCGGCTCATCTGCCCCTAAACGCCGGCCTCTAGCATCGATCAGCAGCTTTGCGTGTCCCTGGCAGAGTTGAACTGGTAACACAACGGCAGCCAAGGGGCCGGGGTCAGACGCCTGCAGCACACGGAGGATGGCTCAGTTTTCGGGAGGCTGAGGTTCTCGCGCCGGTTTGGGAACGTGCGCGCTAACACTTGACCCTCTGCTGCTGTCCGGCTCGGCGAGCGACCGGCAAGGACAGAGGTTTGCTCGTTTGTTTTCCCCCGACTGCGTTTCTCCTTACAGGAAAAGAAAGGAATTTATTTCCCCAGAGAAGAGCAGGGGGAAAGGGGAGGAGTCCTAGCTCACTTTAGATCTGAGTCTTAAGCTTTTAGAATAAGGTGCAAAAGAAAGGTCTTAAAAAGAGAAGGAAGAAAAAAAAAATCAAAACAAAACAAAAAAGTGTCTGAGGTTTGAAATATTTTTGTTTAAAGCAGCCTGTTCCTTTTTTTTTTTCCTTTTTTTTTTTTTTTTAAATAAACTCCGCTGTGCAAAACTGTGCATTTTCTTTGGTATCCATTTAGGTAGTTTTAACTTAGTACTTTTTCTATGTATATATATATTTTATTTCATTTTTTCCTTTAGACAGAGAATTAAATTCTCCCCCCAAAAATCATAATTTTGCTGGAGGCTACTGATTGGCCTGATATTACATAATGCCCCTTATGTAATTGGAAAGAGAGAAATTGATTCTAGCTATCAAACTACTGGCCTCAAAAGGAGTTTAGACTTTCTGGCAACATTGGCCTCTCTGAAGTGATCATGAGCTTTTCAACTCAAAAAGTTCAACACTGACTTTTTTTTTTTTTAAATTACACAAGAGAAAATAAAAACTACACTGCAACAAAAATAACCATTTGTGTTCATGTAGTTAGCAGCAGCTTTTTAAAAAATAATTATAATAATAATAATAAGGCAGATTCTTGCCTTTGTTATGCCATTAAAAACATTCTTGTTCCCTAGAGAGAAGCATTCTGGAAAAAGTTGAAAAAAAATAATAATAACCCAACCAAAGCTTGCCTGCAAGTTCAAGTTTTGTAAAAAAATATATACATAATTTATTCTACAACATATGTGCCTTCTGTTCATACTTAGACATGTTTAGTGCTTTGTGTTTAGAGTTCATTTTCTGTCATCCCTCCTCTGAGGACAGCCCTAAAACCAGCCCGGGTTTCTCAGGTCTGCTTGCCTTCACACCACTCTTCAACAGTACCGTTGTCTGAAAACTGTTCTGGGCCAACTTCTCAGGTCAATGTGCCTTTGACCGATAGATGTATTTTATTTGGTTTTTTTTTTTTCCTTTCAACCAAAAGAGAGAGGAAGAGTTTGTCAGTCATATTTCCGACTCCCGCCGTAGCGGCCGTGGCTCTAGAGGCACCCCTGCTTGGTTGTGGTGGTCCATGTCCGGGTGGGTGTCTGTGCTCATGCTCTCAGGCACCCCAGTGTCAATCTCATCCTCCTCTTTGCTGGTGAGGGCTACTTCGTTCTCGTAGCAAAAGGAGTTTGCGTTCGAGAGAATGTATTTCTTTTCTGCTAAGTCTCTGGCACTGCAGATGGGTGTGTTGGGCACTTCGTATGTTTTGTGGAACCTCGAGTAGTCCACTTTGTAGTAGTTTTTCTCTTCAAAGAGTACAGGCTCGTAGCGGTGGCCCCAGAGGATTTCGTTTGCCAGATATGAGCTACGGCACTGGGTAGTCATGGCGGTAGCTTCCACCATGCCCTCTAATATTACTACAATTTCAAAGTCAGCATTGTCCATGTCTTGTTTGCTCAAGTCATACAAAGGACTGTCTTCATCTATTTCATGTACTATCGTAATGGGGGAGACCAGAAATATGCGGTCTATTCCGCTGTCAAACCCTACGTTGATGTCTATTTGATCCAAGGGGATGTACTCCCCTTCCGACGTGATCCTGGATTTGAGGAGCTGCGCTCGCACGTGTGCCTCGACCAAGTGGCTTTTCCTCAGGTTTCCAACGCGCCACATCAGGCACAGTTTTCCATCTCTCATGGCCACTACGGCATTGTGGCTGAAGACTAGAGTTTCATTTCTCTTTTTTGGCTTGGCCATCTTTGCCATGACGGCACCAATGATGAAGGCATCAATGATGCAGCCTACTATAGACTGGAAAACCACCATGAAAACTGCGATGGGGCACTCGTCTGTGACACACCTGAAGCCATAGCCGATCGTGGTCTGGGTCTCAATGGAGAACAGAAAGGCTGCGGTGAAACTGCTCACTTGAGAGACGCAAGGTTTGCTATTTTCTTGATTCTCCAGATCCCCATGCAACAGTGCAATCAACCAAAACACACAGCCAAAAAAAAGCCAGGAGAGGATGAAAGTCAGGCAGAAGATAACTAGCATCCACCTCCAGCGGATGTCCACGCAAGTGGTGAAGATGTCTGCCAGGTATCGCTGTCCCTTCTCACCCACGTTAATAAACTGGACGTTGCAGTGGCCATCTTTTTTGACAAAGCGGCTCCTGCATTGCTGTCTGGTATGTACCTTACTCTTTCCATTCCCAAAGCCGTTGGCAACGGCCATGGTTGCCAGCTTCATGCCGTCCTCTTCCGAAGACACGATGCTGTAGCGGTTGGTTCGCACGCTGCCCATCACTACTGCTGTGGACTGAGGTGCTTCTGCTTTAGAAAACAGTCTAAGTTTCTGCAAAACCCTTTGGAGAAACAGTTTTGAAAGTTCTAGAGGAACACACACACACAGAAAAACTGGGGAGAGGCTGGAGTCCCCAAAAGCCCTTGGATCAACCAAGGACAGTCTTCTGGCATGCAGAGTTAGCTTAACAAGTAACCGTCATAGAGAGGGCATGGTCTGCAAGAGAAAGAGAAATGTCGTATTAGATCTTGGAGGAAAAGGATAAGGGATCAAACCTGAAAGAATCAAGTCAAACGTCTCCTGTGGACCTGCAGGAGGTTTCCTTATTCTTAATGACAGCATTTTCTGGAATGCATAATGTGCGCAGTTGTATATTGACAGACGTGACATCATTACTACAAAGAAGGCATCACTCTTCCCGAGGGAAGGCACTGAAGTGATCATGTCACACAAGTCTCTGAGCAATATTCACCTTAAAGCTGGACATGCAAAGAATCTATCTACTATTTACAACTGTGCTTTCTGTTTATTTTGAAACAAACAATTAGCATTAACATCCATCTGTTTGAACATAAATACTGAAGCAGTTTTTAGTGACATACAATGTGTCTGTCTGCTGGACTGTTTTACCTATGAGAAACAAGGGAGCGTGCAAAAAGGAAGATGACGTGTACTGAGAAAAGCAATAAACTTGGAAAATGCAAATGTCTGTGATTTCCATGAAATTACATTGCATATAACTTTTTTTTTTTTAAATTAAGCTAGAAAAAGGAGTTGTGTATGCTTTGCAAGTGGCAGGAATAAGGGCTGCCTTAGTTCCTCTTTAACTCTATAAACTCATTGGGATCTGTGTATTTTTTATGCTCCCATTAGGCTTAAGTCGTATGAAGCAAACTAAACCTTCTAATGACCCTCATCTGCTCCTGCTAACGCAACTAGCAAAAGGCTACAACAGAGTAGGACCAGCCGAATGTCTTTGTAACACCTTTGGTGGCAAGTACCAGCGCCTTCCCCTCCGGAGCCTGAGGCAGCCAGTTCCATCTCCAATGGGGAACAGCTCGGGGCGTCCCGTGGGTCTTAAATGTCAGCAATTAAGACTCAGCAGAGAGGCTACAAAACCTTCTTCCTCAGGGTAGAAGCCACCAAACTTGTTTCAGGGAGGTCTGGCTTAGACCCAGGTTTGGCTTTTAACAAGTGCGTCATCCATTAAGTCGTGTACTGTATATCAGGAAATGTAATTGAAGTACTGCAGAGGAGAAGAGATGCATTAATTCAACTGCTCCATCCACGCATGCACCCCACGGAGGAAATAAACCTAAAACCGAGTGATGAGGAATGTCTGCTGTCCATTTGCCATAGGAGAGGAGACGTCGGTACCATTTACAGTAGCGGGGGATTAAATCGCGATGCTCTTTGTAAATCGATATTATCAAAACTCATCTGAGTGTCCAAAACCCAACAAAACTGCAACTGCAAAGGAGCACAACCTCTGCCCATGAACCGGCTTCAGCGCTCTGTGGCTCTTCCTCTGATTCGTATCTGACAACAGCTGTAGATAAGAGTTTCTCTCCTTTCCCCAAAACAGCCCCTAAAGCCCTGCAGAGGTGTTCCAAAAAACTTGAGGGATTTCAAACAGTTTCTCAGCCCTCCCACATCCTTCAACCACATTACAAGGGCTTTAGGTCAGCAAACACTTGTTAGGAAAAGAGCAGGTGACAAACAGAAAACATCATGCTTGCAGTTACATGCGGGATGGTTTTCCCTCTAGAATCTCTTTAGGGTTTACTTTTACCTTCTCTTTTTTCCTCACTTCTGTTTGTTGTGCAAGAATGCGTCCCAACGCCTACTTGCTGAGATTAGTCATCTGTGACTTCAGCGGCGTACAAGACATTTTGGCAGCTTTTGATAGGTTCGGTAATGCCCGGTTTTGAGTACAGATCTCAGCAATGTAGGCTCACAGTACAGCTGCCCTCTTTCTTATCTGACTATCTTGCCTACACTGTGTAAGGATTCACTTTTTCCCCCCTCACACCTTTTTGATCATGGGGTTTCTCATTCCCGTCAGGATATCGTTCTCAAAAATACAAAGGAATTCTTTTAATGCTCACTTAAATTATTTTTCTTGGCTGAAAAATACTTTTATTAGAAACCTGAACACAGGGGGGAAGTGAAATTACTGTTAATACGTTCCACGCAAAAAAACTTCTTGAAAAACCATTGCATTGGTCTGCAAATCGATCACTTTTATAAACCACATCCTATAATCGCAGTCATGTTCGATTTCCACATTCAAAGTCTTGTTTTGTTCCAAGCTGATGGAAACACACAGCCTAGGAAACAGTTTATTTTGAAGTCTTTTTTTTTTTTTTTCCCCCTGCATTGTCTCTTGGATTTTAGAGGAAAACTTGTGGTGGAGGGAAAGATAAGCTGTAAAGTCTCAAGTGTCTGAATATGCAGCTCCCCCCACAAAAGTCTTGACCCGAGGGCATTTGTTTGAATTCCACAAATCACTGAAATCGTAATGCCAGCTTCCTGCGGCGAGCGGGCTGCATTTGGAAGTTTGGGACCCAAATTAGGTATCGTATATTGTCATACTCCTACTCCGAATGGCTGAGCACCTTCTACCTACTGTACCTCGCACCGCATTTCTCCTTCCTAGCTGCACGCTGTCGGTGCTCTGCCCTTGGGAACGGACCTGCCCCGATTTGGCTCTAATGATCCTTAAACTCGGGGGTATGCCTGGGAGCACCCTGTGCTACCTTTACACGCTACCTGAAGTTTATACAACAAAGCTCTGGCATGCTCCACCGCAGCACAGATATCTTCTTTCTTTTACAGCCCAACTTGCCTCTCTTCCTTGCAAGCGCTCGGAGCGGGGAGGATGCCGGGATGGGAGCACCACCAGCACCGTGCGCAGGGACCAGCCGGTGCAACGCAGCATCCACTGGCTGCCTGATCACACACCTGACTGGCATTCCTCCTGACTTTCCCAACCAGTTTCAATAGAGGTTTCCCCCCCACCCCCCAAATCCCAGAAACAATCAAACTAGCGTGAAAATCGAACGGTACTTCTTATTTGGCTAATCCACCTGCTGCTCAAAGGCAAACCAAGTTTGCCACCCTGCCACCCCACCCCATTAGCAGTTGTTGGTGGCACCAAAGATGCCAAACTAGTGTGGGACCAGCCCTGCAATCCTCACCAGACAAAAGAAGCCAGCCCAGAACCCACCAACCAACCCAAATCTTTATACAATTGGGCCCAACGCGCTGCAGCCAGGCACACACACACACACGCAGCTGTAAATTCAGTCATCACTAGGTGTGTTATTAATTCAGGCTACCTTTCCTGCTGGAATTGAATACAAGACTAGAGCAATGCAGCTTGTAATTACCAGCCCTGGCACCGACGCAGCATTACCAGGAAGGGATGAGATGGGATGGGAGAGTCCTGGGCTTGCTCTGCTATGAGGGGATGCTTGGAGGAGCAGAGAAAAACGGGGCTGTGCTGCATATCTGCAGCATTTCTGAACCAACGTTATTGGAAATGCCGCGATGAGAAGCCCAAACCCTCGCTTTCCCCTTAGCAAGCATCCCCCTCGAGACCTCCCCCCCCAGCAAAGACGCTCACGTCGCGTGTCTAAACTCCCCAACGAACAGCTCGAAGCGAATTTGTGCGGAAGGTTTAGTACCGAGCAAAAACTCTGAAGTGCCAAAAGAGTGGGGGCGGGGGGGGGGGGGGGGGGGGGAGCACAAACGAGCGCTTGGGGCAGTTATTCCCAGGCTGACGCCACGCAGCCCTGCAGAATGAGCCGGGCACATGTTGCTAAGAGAGAACCAGCACTACCTTAGCCAAACGCCTTTCCCTGCTGCTCTTAGTAAACAGAACAAAGGAGTTACTCGCCCCAGCGAAGCCTGTTCCCACAGTCCCTGCTCCATCGCTGCCGGGTATGGCCACCCCTGTAACCTTTCTCCAGACCCCCGCGTTACTTATAAGTCATTCCCCAGGGCTTCTCCGCTGGTTTGAGTAGGAGTCAAGTTACACAAAGTGAGCTGTCTTCAGGAGAAGGATCTGTCCTTCGCCATCAGGCAGTGTGTGGGGGGGAAAATAAGGAAGAAAGGAAAAAAAAAAAAGAGCAGATGATGTAGGGAAATGGGTGCAAAGAAATAGGAGAAAGGAAAGGACAAGTGGCTTTTTGCATCTGCTGTCCGGTGAAGGAGAGGGGTTTAGGATATTTCTAGCTGATGACAAAATAACTACAAGTGAAATAGTCATCACCAGGGGGTGTACTTGATGCACCAGCTGGGAGGATGGAAAAGCAAACAAGTGTAAAGGTAAGGCTGAACCAGAAACAAGTGCCGGCTGCCTGCAGGGTGGAAAGGTGGCAGCAGGCTGGGAGAGGACCAAGATGGGGGTCCTGGCTCAGCCCGGGCCACCGGCATGGCCCCAGCCCAGGCACCTGCGGGTCCCCGCCTGCCCCAACCCCAGGAAGATGACAAAGCAGCCACCGAAGCCCCGCAAATAAATCTGCCATCTCTTATCAGTATTTTTTCCTTTAACTGTCATGAACTAAGTTGAAACAATACAGCCTCTTCACAGGCTCCCCAGCTGCAACGGCTTTTTTTTTTTTTTTTTTTTTTTTTTCCTTGTTTTTTTGGCTAGGCTGATTAAAAATAAAGACGCTCCCCCGTTTTGCATACTGCCAATGAATGAAGTTACAGGTTCGTTTCACACCCCTCTCAAACATTTTGGACACTCCTTTCGCAAACACGCATCTGATCTCTAAGACTTGATACTTTTGACCTCTCCCTTGTAGAGGAAACGGCAGGCGAGAAGAATGGAAAGGGATGGAGCGGTGCTACTTCTGCGACACGGAGTTGTCATGCAAACTTCCAGCCCTTCCCCAGAATAAAATATCGCGGGGCGGAGGGGAGGGAAGGGGGGGGAGCAGCTGGTGCATGGAAAGTTATGAACATAAACAGATGCTGCAAGCAGATGCTCGAGTGTTCCCAGCATACCTATCTAATTATTTTAGGCACTGAGAATAGCTCGTGGACGGTGCATGAGAATGCAGGAGTTCCCCCTCCAACCGGCTATGCCCAAGCATTTGCAAGACATCGACCGACAAGGAAAGCTCTCTCTCGGCACCCAGACGGCTACCCTACCCCTGAAAACCAGGCTGGCTATTCGGGAGGCGACCGGGTGGGCTTCTTAAATAAATCTAAAAAGAAGGCGCTCCTTACCTGCCTTAAAGGAGGTGCTTAGAGAGTTAAAAGGCTGTAAGATCCAGCGGCTGGAGAGGAGAGGAGGCTGGGGGGGGGGGACGACAAACACGGGATGGACGAGGAATGAAAAGGGGGGGGAAAAAAAAAAATAAAACCCCACGCAGCAAGGCAATCCCCGGGGGTTGCCCGCCGGCCTCCGCCGCCCCGCTCGCAACTGAGCCACTCAATGAGCCGCGGCCCCTTTTTTTGCTGGGGCGGCCATGGGATGTTTAATAGCGGCCCCGGCGGCCCCGCCCACCCAGCTCAGTCCCCACCAATAGGAAACCGGCGGAGGGGCGGGACCGAGCCCAACCCGCGCCCGGGGGGTCGGGGGAGAAGCTTTGAGGAGAGATGGCGGGGCCC